ATATATATATATATATATATATATATATATATATATATATATATATATATATATATATATATATATATCATTGTGATTAATCTCTATCAGTTAATTATTATTTAACTAAGACATAATTATAGGGTTTTTAAAATAATTTTACCTCAAACTAGATAATAATAATTATAGTTAATCATGGTTAAGTTGGATATATGCAAGGTGTTATATCAAAATTTTGTGAGGACAAAGAAGCTATTTGGAAACATTGAAATGATAGATAGGAGGAGAGAGATGTTCAGTGAACATGGATGAAGAGCAGGTAATACAAGGACAGTACAAAGAAGAAAAATTAGGGGTTTGTCTAAATCAACCTTTAATGGATAGTTGGATGGTGGGAAAGCCTGTTCAAATATGGTTAGACAGAGTTAAGCAGAGACTAATCAGGAGTGGGAATCACAACTTGTTGCATAGGCAGGAAAGGTCAATGTGAGATCACATCAGTTCCTAATGGTGTGAGATGATAATAATAATAATTTTGCCTTGGGTAGGACTCATCAAGATATAGAGTGACTGCATAGGCAGGAAAAGTCCTGCTTATTGGTTGGCAAGTACAAGAGATGTTATCAAGTATTAATGGCTGGAATTATCCTGGTGTAAGAGACACCAAAACAGTGCTAATAATTCTGTACTCTCAGAGGACCACTTCTTCTATTCTGAGTCTTGGAGGAAGACAGTGAGTTCAAGGCATGGTTAACACCATGAACCCAAACGAGTTTTTTCTTCAAGGAGCTCTATTCCATTGCTTTGCTGTTTTCCTCAAGCAAATGCTGTCCTCGGTTTATTTTGTGGGGATTTGGTGCTTGGTAAACAATTAATGAAGATTACATGATCTGCTTCAAGAATCCATGCAAGCAAATCTAGCTGGGGTCATGATCACCCTCTCAGTGCCTGCAGTTTTATCATCTCTGGTCCATGTCTTATGATTTGGGAAATCAATCCTACATGATTCTCCAACTCTTATATTCCCAAATAGTCTCTTAAATCACAGGGTCTTGAGGAAAACCATTGTTCCACAACTCCATGACCTGAGCTCTTGAGAACCTCATGCTTCTAATCCTATCTTCTTCCCGCTCCTTTAACTTGTTCACTCGGTTGTTCCTCACGACCAAAGAGTTCAAAGCATGCTTCCATTGCAGCCTGTTATCATATGCTTCTGATCTATATCTTATCCAACTTGAGGTCCAACCTTGGGACCATATTTTAATCGGACACAACTTGAGGTCCAACTTGAGGTCGCTTTCATGGAGATGGGCAGAAGGATAAGAAAGCACTATCACATTGCTGGAATGTTTAATTTTGTGGTTGCTAGGTTTTGCACTACAGGAATTTCTAGTATCTTTGATGGACCAGACTCTTCCATACCAACTCTTGTTTGGTATGATGGTTTGATAATGATTGTGCAACCTCGACGAATCGAGCCCGAGCTGTATATGAGCTCAGGCTCGAACTGTTTCGGAACATCAAACTGTCTACAAAACAGAGAGAGAAAAAAAGACAACTTAGAGGGAGACAATTGAAGACATTGATAAAGATGATCAACAAAACCATCTTAGAATAACGAATAAGGCATACAATGATATTTCCTAGAATCAGAGATAAAAAAAAGTATACCACTAAACACAAGCTGGGAGTCAAAATCAGATGCTAAGAATAAGAGATTAATTGTCAATGGAGAAATTTGAAAGAACCGACCCGAACAACAACGACTCATACGACCAAGACCTGCTTTAATATCACTTCCCTCTGCATCACTTGAGGCACAAGCCAAGATTGTGTCTAACAGGTGCATGTAAAGAGCCCTCTGACATTGTTGTATCAACATTTGAAGATTGAAACAATGATTAACAGCATAAATTGAGGGCTACATGGCATGCTTAAGCAGAATATCTTGGATAATCAGTAATACCAAAGAAGCAGCGGTCCCGAGCGATGAAAACTGGACATGGCTAAAACATGCTAATAGGACAAACAGCAACCACAAAGTTCAGATCTGGCAACGTTGAATTACTGCTCTAGAAATGAAACAACTAATCATGGGTGACAAACCTCATCTAATACTGCAATTATTTGTAATGCTACAGGATGTATTTTGTTGATGCGCTAGAACTCCAATTTCACAATGGCAGTTGATGGTGGTTCTGTCATAGTGGGTAAATACTGGAGCCAGTCTTTTGCACAAAAAAGAGCCTCTACTGTCTCGGGGCGTAAAGAACTCCGATAATCATCTAGCACTCTGCTTCCAGTCCCTGAGCCAAAAATGGAGCAGCCTGTGCCCACCATGGATACAGGGATGGCCAGGACATCTCTAGCCATCTTGGATAGAGTTGGATACTTGAGGTTGTTGAGCTTCCACCAGTTAAGGATGTCAAACCCTTGAATCCGTGGGACAAGTGACTCTTCCAAGTACTGGTCTAACTCAGATTTTGTCGACTGATTCACTGCCATCTCAGAGAGATAGACATCAAAGTCTAGAAGCCCATCTCCTGTGGAATTTGGGGTTGCAGGTGGATTGTTGTCATTGCCATTCATGTGATTGGCCTCCCCTTCATCCACATATGCAGGCATCAATTGGAGTGGCTGGGAAACGTACTCGAGATATAACTCATGAATACTATCATTAACTACCTTAATGAATCTAGCAGAATCTTCACCATAAATTTTTGCAAAACTGAACTCAACTAGCTTCATTTTGAACCGAGGATCCATAACCACAGATATCGCCAATACAAGGCTGCAATCTTTCCAATATTTGTCAAACTTTTCATGCATCTCCTTAGCTATGCTGCTCACCATTGTGTCCTCACTCAATGTTCCATTAGCCAGCTCTAGCTGGACTTTCCATGCTTCCTGGAAAAATACATTTGCAGTTTGATCTATTGTTGTCATGATAGTGTGTGCCGAGTCATAAAGAAGTTTCAGGAATGTGCAAACAACTTCCACCTTCTTCCAGTCATCAGCGGATGGTGCTTCATTATAATTATCATCGCATGTTTCCAAGAAAGTAAATGCCTCTTTGTACTCCAGTGCAGCCTCCATCATAAGATAAGTTGTGTTCCACAGTGTTGTAACATCAAGAGAAAGGGCTTTTGTACCAGGAATTCCAATTTGTAAGGCAATCTCAGCAAATTTTTCTTCCCGTGCTGGAGAAGCTTTAACAAATTTCACACTCTCCCGGATGTTATACACAATACCATGAATTGAAGCAATAACATCCTGTGCAACTACATTCAAGATATTGGCATAGCAACGTACAACAAACAGCTGACCTTTTAGCATAAGTGTGTTCTTATTTGAAAGATGGTCTCTGAGATTAGCACTATAGATGTCATGTGATGAACAGTTGTTGTCCAAAGTAATGGTGAACAACTTAGTCTTCATATTCCATTCTGAAAGGCTAACACTAATTGCTTCACTAAGAGCATTTTCTGAGTGAGGTGAGGATACCAACATGAAATTAATCATTCTTCTGTGCAACTTCCAGTCACTGTCAATGTATTGTCCACTAACGCAAATATACCCAAGAGTCTGACTAGTGGTCCACAGACCTATAGTGAGGCTGATCCTTCCCGGCATAGTTCCGAAAATCTGCATGAGGTTTTGTTTTTCCTTGTGATATACAGATAAGACTTCACCTTCCATGGCATTGACATCAATCATTTTAAATCGTGGCTGGAGACTCTGAACGAAGGACACGAAAGCAGGGTTTTCAACCATATGAAGTGGATATTCATGCACAATTATCATCTTTGCAAGATACATGTAGCTCTGTTCCTGGTCAAAAACATTCACAAAACCAGATGTTCTGTAGCGTTTTTTGGGTGGATCAGATGTATCTCCATCAATTCTTGTAGCTGAAGCAAGCGCATGTTGTTGATTTTCCAGATTCTTGATTTTAGGACAGGAACCCAGTGCAATGTGCCTCTTTAGGTGACTCGTACCAGCTACCTTTGAACCATTACTGTATGCAAAGGTTTGTTTGCACAGTTTGCAGCAAGCCCGTGTACACCCATCAGAGACAACTTCAACAGTGAAGTGTTCCCAGACCATTGACTTCTTTCTCCTGCGCCTTGTAGTTGATGGGGCTGTCTCTGTGTCCAATGGTTCTGTGTTCAATGGTTCAGAGTCACTAACTTCCATTGTGCTGCATAAATACAGATCTACCAAAGTTACTTTTGTGAAAGGAATTCTTGGTAAAGTTCAATCTTAGAGCAGACATCCAATTAGTATAGAAGGGATTTTGTGCCTAGGTTGCAACGATATAGTTTCTGACTGCTCGAGCCAAATGACAAACACTAAAAAATAGATTCCTCAAATAAAAAATTCATTATTCATATAACTATGCCTATAAAACTAAATCAAATTTGCAGTATAAAAAAGGTGCTCCATTCATATACCAGTGAACAGCATGATGACCATATGTGCTTAAAAGTCATAAATAATATCATAATCTTGAAAAATAGACATGATAATTGGGCTGTGAGGACCAATAAAACTAGACTACAAAAATCGACCGACTTACTGACTTTGACCCTTCCATGAACCTGCATTGGAAGAAGCACATTGACCAGGCTGCTCTTTTTCAGACTCACCAACCAATGAAATGAATCAATAATTTGCAATTTCTGGCCTTGGTGAATGAACAAGAAATGTAGTCTGACTTTCTTAGCAATTAATTAAAATAAATTTCCAAAGAATCATTAGCTACGAGTAGCATCTGTGCTTTCCTACACAACAAATGAGCTCATTGTCATGGTGATTTCAAGAAGTTGCTCAACATATGGAGCAACAGAAAAGCCCATAATGTTTGTCGTGCAATCCAAAAATCCAGTTTATGACTTTTCAACATCTATCGTAACATGTCAAAGGAATGCAATAGGGAGCTCTAAGATGCAGCAATCCAACTAGATCCAAGGCCACCACTTTAGAGACAAAGTGAATCTGATGGATGAGGAATTGTTACAGGGGAAAATTTGACCCTCATTCCTGAGTCATCCACCATCTGCTGCACTCAATGCCTGAGTGATTGCTAGCTTCCTCCTGAAGCGTCTCCGAATTGACTGCCACCAATCCATGATATTAGAGAGCTACCCCAACACCCGAATGATTGCTCACTTCCCATTCCTAAAGAGCCAGTGTCCAAGCTGCATTTTACACCATATCACCATGTCATATGCATGCAATCTGCTGGGCAACTGCCTCTGTGCATTGTTACAGGACCCTATTATTTACAGGAATTGGGTATCCCAAATCCTATACAGTCTCAAACATGAAATGAGACCTCTAGGAACACTTGACAACTCCTAACAGGAGCCAGATGTGGGTAAATGCCCTATCTTAATCACCAACTAAGCCTTAAAAGGTCGTCGGCCAGATGTAAAACACAGTATAGGGTATCCAGTTAGGCTAAAGAGGGAGGATACAACATCATGATAATTTTGAAGGGTAATTTTATATTATAACTTTTTAGACTTGTCAGGGTTCAGTTATTACAATTCTATAACTAAGGAAGCCACATGCCTCAAAAGAAGGTTATGACTACTGTTTAATATTCTTTATTATTTCCAGTAATTTTCTGCAAAAAAGAGTTTTAGAGTATTGGTTTTAACCTTTTGAGGAGGCTTATGTCTGCTCGAGTTAAGCAGAAAGTAAATGGTATCATTAAAAGAATAATATAAGTAAATGGTATTATATTACAGTACTGATCCGGTCCATACCACTCTGTATAATTGAATCCTATATGTTATAATATAGTAAAGATACTATATGGGCGAGAACAGTGTTAAGAAATGAGAACAACCCCGCATTGTTCTATTTCTTGTTGTTAATTTAAGATTTTCTAGAATAATTCTCAATAAGGAAAAATATCCAAATAAATCTTTGTTATAATTATTAAAACAGAAAACTGTTTTACGATAACGTTTCCAAGTAGGGTCTAACCTGTCACCCACTACCAAGACCATTATTTGTTGCATCATTGCACGGGTTCCTATTTAAAATTTTCACACCTGATATAGATCTACTGTAGCTATAAAAAGTCCACCAAAATCCATAGCAATTGTACTACAACATCAGACCATCTAAAAAAGAATGCACAAAAGAAACCTACCAAACAGAATTAAACATATGAAACCTCCAGGAGTAGAAAAAGAGCCAACCTGATACACAAAAATTAATTAGTTTATGATCAGGTTCGAATCGAAGAAATACAATTTCAATTAGACCATTGTTTTGCAAGTATACAGCGGCGTCTTCAATCAAACACCAACAGTAAACTTACAAGAAAAGATCATACCTCGGAGCTAATTACGAGGCGTAGGATAACAAGGAAACCCTAAAACAAGGAATCCACCACACAGATGAATCTTTTCGCCAGAACAACCTCTGAACACTTCCCAGAGTTAAAACCACAAGACACCACATCAAAATTAATCTTGCGGGGCGTCCTACCGGATTGAAACGAAGCATCAGAAAACATTCAGAACCGAGAAAATCCACAAGAAGAAACCCATCAAACAACAGCAAATCCTCCTGAAGAGATGAAGAAATCACACGCTTGCAAGAGAAGACTCCACCAGAAGGAGAAATTCACCACAGGAAGATTCATGGGAAGCAGGAAAAGGGGCATACCTCAAAGAATTTGACGGAGATCTCTCCGGAGGTCACAAATCTAACTATACAAGAGGGAATCGCCGTGATCTAACAGCGGCGCCGCCTCAGGGCGACGACGGCGGTCGGCGGAGGCGCCGATCTGAGGATTAGGGTTAGGGTTTGGGCCAGAAGGGAAGAGGAGACGGACGCCACACTCGACTCACGAATGTTCAGCGTTTGCCCATGGGCCGAACCCGTGGGCCTGCTTATATAGTGCTCCCGGTTCGGTTCTTCTTGACCGGCCTATGGGTTCGGCTTGGAGGCGGAAAAGGATTTGGTTTGGTCAACCCAAACTCCAGCCCGCCCATTGACACCTAGAAAACAACGACCTTTAGGCTCAAATTGAGGTGCTTCACTCTCTTGCTCACCTAATTTGGTTCACAAGAAGTGTTATGTTGGATAGAATTTGGGCCGCCACATGTGTAGATGATGGCATGATGTTGATTGATGTGGGTAGCAAAATGGAATTTTTTTTTATAGGAACATAATGCTCATATTTTGGTTTTCAAGAATTTTGTTGAAAAAAAATTGTATAGTTTTCTTAATTATTTATTATAATGATTTGGTAGAATAATTTAACTGCATGGAAAATGGGATGGTGTGAGTAGAATAATTTTATCATATAAAAAAAATACAAAATCATTATTAATTAGAGAAAAAGAAAAATAAGAAAGAAAGGGTCACACCATCCGTCCATCCATGGTAGGTCAAGATCTTTTCCAGTTGTTGAACGGAGAGATCCTTATCGCGTCCAATCCCACGTTGTGGTGAGGACTACTGTGGTGGGGCCCACCGTCAAGAAGGATGAACTACCGGAATTGTACGATTGCAATGTAGATGAATACTGGAGATGATCCGATATCCATTCGTCCCGTGTTATCTTCCACGCCCACGCCTCTTTCTCTCTCATCCGATCCCCTCCCCCCGGTCGCGGTAACGTTGCGATGTCGGGGGTTTTACGATGGAAGAAGCTCCGCGACACGGCGACGCGCGTCGCCCGGAGCGCCGCCGCGGCGTCCGCCACTGACCGTGAGACACCCTGCCGACTCTCCCGCCGCCGCCCGATCTCCGCCATCGCCGGTGACCATCACCGCCGCCTCCTCCTACACGCGCCTGCGTCCCCCGCCCTCGCCACATCCCGCCGCAGCTTCGGCCTCCTTCGGCAGGAGCGGCACAAGTGGGACGGCGGAGCCGACGAGTTCCACACTCGCCGCATCCGTGCCGAGGCCCAGTGCCCTCGCTGCTCCCACTACATGGACATCCTCTTCTCCAACGCCTCCCCGTTCTCCATCGCCGGTGGAGGCGGAGGAGGGTACCAGGCCCTTAACCTCTGCCCTAGCTGCAAGACCGCCTACTACTTCCGTCCCAACAAGCTCGTCCCCCTCCGGGGGACCTTCGTGGAGGTTGGGCGCGTCCGGGACTCCGGACCTGGGAAGGAGATGAAAGATGATGACGATCACGGGAACCGAATCAAGAACTCCTGGGAGGCGCTGAGATTGTCTTATGGTGGGGAGCCGCCGGAGAATTGGCCGCCCGTGCCTGGACCGCCGGAGACCAATGGTTTGGCAGTGCACGCACCACCTGGACTGCCGTACCCGCCAAACTTGAATGTGGTCAGGGTGGCCGGACCTGGTGGAAGCGGGGGAGGAGGTGGGTCAGCCTCTAGCGGTGGGTTAGGTGGCAAGGAAGGGTGGGGAGGGTCGAATTTGGGAAAGGATTTGCCAACACCGAAGGAAATATGCAAGGGGCTCGATAAATATGTTATTGGGCAGGAGCGCGCAAAAAAGGTATCGTGTGTTTTGCTAGATCATATTTTTATCAAAGACAATTTATCATGGAATCAGGGTGATAAAGGATCAGTGCCAGTGTTTCTGGTGCATTTTCAATGAAAATTCAGGGAATAGGAAGAAGATAAAGTTTCCTGTTTGGATAGAATTATCTCTTGTTTCCATCCCCATTCTATGTCAATACAATTGTAAGACTTGTGTTTTTTTTATAATCTAACATTCTAACTAGTTCATGCTTAAAAATCAGCCATTCTTTTAAAAAACTTTCAGTTATATTGAGTTTGATTACAAGTTTGACATAGAATATTCTCCTTTTTGTTACTCGGTGGAGTAAGATTGAGAGTTTTAATATTTCTATCAGTTCTTTAGGAAGCCATTATGGTGTGTAATGATCAAATAAATATTCTGATAAGGTGAATTAGAAGGAATTCCTGGATGAATTAGGCATTTTGATTCATACAAAAGAAAAGCATAATCAGAAATTCGTAGGGATAATTAAGATGGTGAATTTTACAGACCTAAGAAGTCCCTGAAGTCATTGCTTACTAGCTTATTGCCTTGTATAGAAGCTCATTCTCCACACTAAATGTAATTCATTTGATCATTACTTCAGGGCCAAGTACTGTAGTTCATATCTAGGATGTCCCAGCTGCACCAGCAATGCTATCTTAACTCTAATCTTCCTAACCTTTTGAACTTCTAATACTCTCATTCGCTGACCAGTTAATAATAAGTGCAGGTGCTTGCTGTTGCTGTGTACAATCACTACAAAAGAATATATCATGCATCCTTACAAGAAGGGTTAGTTATAATGTGTCATTTTTGTCTACATAGTGATCCAAGTTTTTTTTTATTGCTAACTTAAGCTTACTATTTGAATTAAGCATATGTAGACATTAGGTTGCACATCTTAGTTTAAAATCGTTCTCTTTGTTCTGATGATTCGTAGTGAGCTGAATACCCTAATTTAATACCCAGCTCTGAAGCCAACCTGGGGAATTCTGACACAGAAGGTGATAATGATAATAATGTAGAGCTAGAGAAAAGCAATGTGCTCCTGTTGGGCCCTACTGGTTCAGGTATTATATATGGAATTGGAATAAAATCCAATTCCATAAAATTTTCTTTCTTGGTCTGACGTGCTCATAATCATGATTTGCTTTTTTCCATTCTATTAATGTTAGTGGTTGGTTTGACCTCTCTGTATGCTTGCATAACTTATCCGGACAGGAAAGACATTGCTTGCTAAAACTTTGGCTCGTTTTGTGAATGTGCCATTTGTCATAGCAGATGCAACCACACTGACACAGGCAAGTTGACATTTCCAGCATGCCGATTCTGATAATCTGCTCTTGTATCATTACCATCAACCAATTTCATAATATGCTGATTCCTCTTTTTCATTTTGGTCTATAATTGTGATTTTTCAAAGAGTATGCTTGTCATTGTATTACAGTGAAGTTATTCATATATGGTTCTTTTGTTTGGACCTTCTCATATCCAACAAAATAACCTGGGAGAGGCAGCAGTCTGAGTAGTTGTCTATGGTAACCCATATCTCCAATATTACATTAAATATTTATGGGAATTTCTAAATGTTAGAAAATATGTCTGTTCGTTATATCTGCATTCTGTATCAATTAAGATCTTATGTATTTGAAATGTTAAGTAACAAAACTGTCAAGGTTTAACATATACCTGATCTGACCAACAGCTATCTTTTGCTATTTTCTGGTTTTTGCTTCGATTAACTAAAAATTCATGAATATTGTTGCAGGCAGGTTATGTTGGAGAGGATGTAGAATCGATATTGTACAAGTTGCTTACGGTTTGTTTCCCTGTTTTCATTTAAATTTCTTCACTAATAAATGTAAACTAATCAAGGTGATTTTGACTTGCCAATTTTTTTCTCGTTACTGCAGAATTTTTAGTTGTGCTTTAATTCGTCACAATTCCTGCTGTACCAACAAGCATGTTTACATCATGTCCATGGTTGTCCCATCTGTAGCCAAGAAGTGTTAGGCATGTATGGTCGAAATATGATATCATTATTGGGATGTAGATATGGATGCAGCCATATCTTAGTTCCTGGTCATTTAAATCTGTTATTCTTTTTGTTGTGCTTGTCATGTAGTTTGCATGATCACTGTTGTTAGGTCCATCTTGCAAGCCGCATCCAGATATGACAAGTAATATTTGTATGGCTTGCTCATGGTGTTGTTACAAGTCTTCAGCAAACAGATTTGTTCCTAGTTATTAAGTGCATGATTTTTCTTACTTGTGCTTATCCTCCATATGTGATTGGCAGACAAAATAAACTTTTAGCAATTACTTTTTACACTATCCAAGAATCCAGAAAAGGAAAATCAGGATACAACTGCACATGATTCTTGTTATACTACATTTAGAGGATCTTAATACTTCCATTACAATTGTGCTAACTTTATGTTATCTTATACTTTGTTATTTAATGTATGATAGAATACGTTGATTTGCTCAATAGACCTAGATAGTTAGAAGAGTTGAATTGATTACTAATCATGAGAAGAGGTAAAGGAAGACATAAAATGATTTTTATAAAAACCATAAATAAAATTTTAAATATTGTTAACTTAACTAAACCTATAACTTTTTGTCGATCATAATGCTGGCAAAATATCCATGTAGTCGAAACCAAATAATTAGATTTTATTATTGTAGAATCTGCTGATGTGGGTACAGACAAAAAACACTGAGCTTTTATCGTAAATAGTGATCTAGTTACTCTTGAAAACCAGCTAGCCTTGTTTATCTATTGCTGTGAATTTAGTTAGTTATATTCTATATAGCACACAGCACATCGATTATATTGTTTATGTCATTTAGTGTACCGAAGTTTTTTCTTGTTTTAGTGTTTTTTGTTTGGAAGAGTATCTCTGGTAAATCTTGCCATGCTTCCAAGTTCTACAATCTTTAACAACTTTACGAGTCTTGTTGTATTACTTCAAAACATTCTATGATATCATTATAATAAATTGTTATGCATCTTAAATGAATCTCCTTTTAAAGCTTGCTTTTTTTCCTGGTAAAGTAGTCATATCTTCATATTCTATTTAATTATTGATCTTAGGTTCATCGTTGTCATTATTTTGAATGCTAAGTTTCATTGTTTACTACCAAGGCACATCTTTTTTCATTAAATTGTACAGTATTTTGTTCACTCAACTTGTTAATCATTTCTTTTTCCCCTTTCTCTATAATATAACAAAGACAATGGAAAGACTTTTTTATTTTGCCTACGCAACTCCAATTGGTTAATTTCCCTCTCTCTCTCTCTCTCTCTCTCTCTCTCTCTCACGACATGGGTCTGATGGGCTAACTAATCTGTCAACTTTATTAAATCCAAACCACTAACCAAAATACTTCAGTTGAAGTTGACAATATACACTAATCTGACTCTTATAAGTCAATCTTAATCTTATCCACTTTCGATGTGGGACTAATCAATATGTTGTAATCTCCTGCACTTAAAGACTTGACGTCTTCATCAAGGCCCAGCATGTTCTAGATCAAACCTCAACATGGTGCATATGAGTTATAGCCCAGTGGTGGCTCCACATCGTGACGAGTCCTCCATCTCCATCCGTGAGTAGCTTTTTCCTACTTAAGACCCTCACTATGTCTCAATACTAGGTTGGCTCTAATACCATTGTCACAACCTAGGTATGATGAGCTAACTAGCTTTGTTTGGTCCAAACTAAGGACCAAAATGGTTAAGCTGAGGTTGACAGCAATACACCTATTAGACCTAAGCCAATCTTAGTCATGTCCACTTTCGACGTGGGACTAATCAGGGTATTACAATCTTACTTACTTTCGATGTAAGACTAATCGGGGTGTTACAATCTCCCCCAGCATAGCCCAAATCAAACCTTAGCATGGTGCATATGATTCATGGCCTAGTGGTGGCTTCATGTCGTGATGAGTCCTCTAACTCTATCTATGGGTAGCCCTTTCCTAGTTGAACCTCTCACCATGCCCCAAGACTAGGTCGGCTCTGATATCATTTGTCACAACCTTGGCCTGATGGTTAACTAGTCCATTGACTTTTTTTTGACCTGAACCACTAGTCAAAATGCTTAAGCTAAATATGACAATAGCAAATTTATAATTAATTTCACTTAGGCTCTCATCAACTAAGACAATATTATTAGTAAATAACATATACCGGGAAGGTCTACTATATAAGTAACTAGTAAGTTCATCAATTATCAATGGGGATGGCTAATTAGCCCATTAACTTCTTTTGTCCTAAACCACTATAATTAAACTGAAGATGACAATAGCAAATTTATAATTAATTTCACTTAGACTCTTATTAACTAAGATAATATTATTAGCAAATAACATACACTGGGGAGGTCTTTCATGTAAGTGACTAATAAGTTACCCATTAACAATGTAAAAAGGTAGGGACTTAATGCAGATCCCTAATGTAATCCTATGCTAATAGGAAACTCACTAAATACACTCCCTATATTAGTAGCTATATTATCATACATATTTTTTAATAATATCAATATAATTAGTGAATACACATTTCTTTTTTAAAACTCACCATAATAAATTTCTAGGAACTCTATTATAGGCTTTCTCTAAGTTAATAAAAATTATATACAAATCTTTTTTTTTCTCTCTAAATTTTTTTATTATCTTAATAAATAAATAGCTTTTTTTGGTTAATCTTCAAGGTATAAGCCAAATTGATTTTTAGAGATATTTGTTTCAAACCTTGGATAGACTTTCGATAACTCTTTCCCAAAGTTTCATAATATGACTCATGATTATAATTCCTCTGTAATTTAAATAATTTCGTATGTCATCCTTATTTTTGTAAATTGGCACTAAAAAACTCTTTCTCCATTCATCAGGCATTCTTCTGAATCTCATAATTTTATTAAATAAGCTAGTTAACCAAGCTACTTCTTTATCTTTTAAGCTTTTCCATACCTCAATAGGAATATCATTAGGCCTCGTACTCTTAGCTATTTTCATTTTCTTTAATCCATCTTTTACCTTATTAGCTCTAATTTTGCAAACAAATCTATGATTATTAAATTTACCACTATTATTTATCGTTAAATCTAAGTCATGTGTGGAATATTCATTAAATAATTTATAAAAATATTTTTTCATCTTTCCTTAATATCGTTATCATTCATAAGTTTTCTTTGATCTTAGTCCTTAATACATTTAATATTACCTAAATTCTTAAAAAAAAAAATTCTAGCTTTAGCAATTCGATATATAACTTTTTTGAGCTTCCTCGTACAACTACCAAACTCTCTCTTAAGGTTATATCTCTACATTTAGTTTTACCAAGAATCTTCTTTGTAAAGCTTCTAATCTTATTAGTTATCATAGTCCAAATAAAATTAATATTATCCTCATCTAAGTTTCAAGTTGCATCTCTTTCTATCTTATTCTTAAAAGTGTTTACATTACTAGTCCTAGTAAATTTTCTACTATCTTTTTTTTCTTTTATTTTCTATAGTAGATATCTAATACCATCAACCTATGTTGATTCATCAAACTTTCGTCTGATCATCCAATCTGACTTGAGGGGCATAAATACTAATGACATTCAAAGTATATTGTCTTTTCATAAATTTTAGAACTATAATTATATCTTTATATCATTTTATATCTACAACATTATTCTTTAAGATCCTTATCAAGAATAATTTCTTACACCATTTTTATGTTTAACTTTTTCAATATACCAAATTTTAAAACCAGTACTATCAATCTCTCTAGATTTGTTTCCTATCTGCTTAGTCTCTTATAAGCAAATAATATTAATTCTCTTTTTTCTCATAGTGTTTACCGATTCTAATCCCTTCTCTGGAAGTGTTCCTATATTCCAAATTGCTAACCTAACCCTTTGTTCTTGGACTAACTTCTTTACTCTCATTAATCCAAAACAATGAGAGAACTCTTGCCTACTTGGCAGCACATCCGGGCACTGATGTGATGAGCCGCTTTCAGACGACCTCCTAGCCCACCGTTTCCAATTCGGGACACCTAGGTGGTGAAAGTGCCTCGCGTCACTTCTGGGTGATGATGTAACTTTATATAGAAATCAGTTAAGATTCATGTTCATGAGATTTGACATAGTTTTACGTTGGTTGTCAATGACCTAACACAATCCTCCACCTTTTTCATTCGGGCTTAAGATTGGCATTGGCGGGATTTGCCATTATAATTATCGTACTATTATAATACATAGTCCATGATAATATAAAATTGTCAGACTTTTTTCTCTTTTTGTACTTATCACTTAAATAGGTTCTTGATGAGTATTCTTGTGGCATGTGGTTGCATATGTAGTTCATATAAGAACATCCAGAAATATAATTAAGAATTACATAATCAAGTACAAGTGCCTCACAGCAACTTATGCTACTGTTTCCAGTGATTTAAAGGGCCCTAACACCATTAGCCATCAATAGGCAGCTTATAATGTCAGATAGTACTTGGTTTTGAAAAGCCAAGGTGCAAAAGGAACAAAAAAAATTAAATTAAAAGAGTAAGTTGGTGGTTAGCATCATGGTTGTGTTCCTGTGCCAGATCAATTGGTTGGTTTTGCCTCTGTATTTTCAATCTCTGATTAATTAATTTTTTGGAAAAAAACCTAATAACAAGTGGTTGAATTGAAGTACCAAATGGGTTATATATGCCTAATCAACCATTGTCAGTCACAGCTGACTTTCTTGCTACTTTCTCAGTCAGGATCCTTAATAAATTATAGAAAATGAATAAACTTTCACTGACTTCATCTATTAGATGTGTGTTGAGCAGTTATTATACATTTATCCTTTTAGTTCTTTTGTTCTCACCATTGATCTACATTTATCATCCTTGTTTCAATTGTTTCCAACCATTCTTCACAGGATGATTTTTTTAATTAATTTTATAATTGCTAAGTTGTTCTTTTTCCCCCTGACAAATGTACTTCATGCTTATTTTCTGTGACAATTTCTAGGTTGCTGAGTTCAATGTACAGGCAGCACAACAGGGAATAGTGTACATTGATGAAGTTGACAAGATCACTAAGAAGGTTAGGTATTAATAACCCAATAATTATGTGACTATAGGATCATTTAAATTTTAGCAGTTGCCTTACCCAATGTTTAATGTGCAGGCTGAGAGCCTAAACCTTAGTAGAGATGTATCTGGTGAAGGTGTTCAACAAGCATTGTTGAAGATGCTAGAAGGAACTGTCAGTCAGATATCATGCTCTTTTCTTAGTTCTAGTCACAATAGAATTTACAATCTTTAGGTTTTTCACAATCTCTAATTCTACCCTGAGAATTTGAAGGATGACCTGAACTTTTTGAGTTGCACTATATATTGACTGATGAGCATTAGGTATTGTACTGTGAGCAGGCTGATTGTCATTTCTACACCTTTTCCAATATCTATTGATCAGGACACATTCCGGGTTTTGAAACTATCTACACTTTTTCATGACAAAAATATATTTCCTTTTTGTGTTAACTCTCAGTTTGTCATTATAATCATGTCATGGCATCAGGTGCCTTTTGTTGTCCTAAGAATCAATTTGCAGATCCATTGGACTTGTTACATGTGCCGCTGTGCATAAGAAGAACAGCAAATTTGTTTTTTGTTTTCATTGTTGTTTCATCAAAATTAACAGCAATCTTAGTTTTTTTATTGTTCCTGAGAACATTGAACAAAAATAAAAAAATCATAATAATTGTCTATAAGTTAAAACACAATACCAATGGTATTGAGGCCCCAACTATTTGAGGTCAGCTATTTCTACAATAAATTAGTAATTAAAACTATTGTCCTACATGTCTCCTTATGTAGTTTACAAAGATTAACATACAAATAATTGTTAATTAATGGTAAATAAAAGTTATGTTACACCAGATTGATTCATGTGGTGCTGTCAGATAAATGTATGCATTGGAAGGCCCACTAATCCCAAGGTTAATAAAAATGTTCAGGTTTTTGTATTATTGTGAGAGAAGAAAAGAAAATCTTTGCCTTTTCAAGGGCAGATGTCTTGAGCATGCTTTTCAACATGCACCTTTAGACTATATAATCCTACACAATGGAATTAGAGGAATCAATTGGCTTGCCCCATTATTAGTCTTGTGTAAGTGTAGACAATTTTTCTTGTACCTTTTGCTACTTGGGAAATTGAAAATTGTAGGAGAGCTTGTTGCATCTCTTAAATCCTTCACTAGACAAAGTGGATGTACTGTTTCTAATTTGTATTGTTTTCTGAACTTGTTTGTGTAGATAATCAATGTTCCAGAGAAGGGAGCTCGGAAGCACCCACGTGGTGACAATATACAGGTTGTAAACATTATAATTATATATATAACATGCATAGAATAGTGTTAATGTTATAGTTAATTTTTAGTTGTCTGCAAGGTCACTTGTTTGAAGTCACAAGGCTTTTGCATTTTCACATGGCAAAGAAATGGTTCTCTTGTATTGAGGTTTTTGGTTCTTGATCAATTCATCCCTACCAGTATCTCTGATCTCAGCTTAAATGGTGGAAATTGTTTAATCTTTAGTACAGTTGCCTATCTTTTTAACTTTTCCAGCAATTGTATGTTTGCTGGTGGGAAGCTTATGTTACTCTTGTTTTATATCATAATCGTGTCTATCTTCATGCCTGTGTATATATAAACAGGAGTAGATGGACCAACTATTTTAGTTTTTGCATTAACCAAGATGCTTGACATACTGGCTATAAATGTGTCATCATAGATCAGATTAATCAGCTCATTGTCACACAATTTTTGAGATATAAAACTCTTTTAGCATATTCCTATTTAGTTCATTTAACTATTGTAATTTTGTTACTTAGACTGGCTAATTATTGAGACTTGAGTTGTGAATCTGCTTATTGAAAGGGTTCCTATTGATGCTTTTACAAAATAACATTGTTGGATTTATGAGGTTAACTCACCAAAAAAACAGCATTTGGTTAATGAAACATTGATAATTTTTCTGTACTCAAATGTGGTCTTTGTTTAAATAAGTAAGAAGGCAACCACATTTTTTTTTTCTTTTTTTACTATCAAATGAGAGCAGGTTTTGGTACAATGGTAAGGTTGCTCATTTGCGACCTGGGAAACCAATGTTCGAGTCACGGGAACAATCTTTTTAAATATTAAAAGGTAAGGCTGCATACATTGACCTTCCCCAGACCTTGCATTGGCAGGAGCCTCGTGTACTAGATATGGCCTTTTTTACCATCAAATCTTCATGTAACACATTTGATTCATCTTTTTTTATTTTCACATTTTACTTTCATATCACTAATTGATATTTGCATTGCTTACTAGAAGAGTCGAGAAGGTCTAAGAAGGAAAAAAAAAAGGGGGTATAAATGTTCACTGGATCCTATTTTTCCATACTTTTTTGTCAAATTCTTAATTGATCTGTTGCACTATCATATTTTGCTTTCGGATCTGTCTATGACTTGTATGCTTCCTTTAAAATTTGTTATACTGTCATTTCACAACTCAGGTATTTCATTAGTTATAATTAGTCGATAAATTTAATTTAATTCCCTTCATTGTTAAACTCATGCTTGTCAGTTGTGCAGATAGATACCAAGGATATTCTTTTCATATGTGGTGGAGCTTTTGTTGATCTGGAAAAGACTATTTCAGAAAGGTGGATTATGAATTTCTGCAATACTCTTCACATAGCATTTATTTATCTTTTTCAGGCCACAATAGCTTTTTGTTGTGAAGCAGGCGACAAGACTCTTCTATAGGGTTTGGAGCACCAGTTCGAGCAAACATGAGAAGTGGTGGGTTGACAAATGCTGTTGTGGCGTCATCGTTGTTAGAATCTGTAAGCTCAACTCATGCATCAATTATGTGTCTTCCCCTGGAATCCAAATTTCCTTGTCATGGTTCTTGCATGTTATTTGCACAGGTCGAGAGCAGTGATCTTATAGCATATGGTCTTATTCCAGAATTTGTTGGGCGTTTCCCGATACTAGTTAGTTTGTCAGCTCTAAGCGAGGACCAACTTGTTCAGGTGTTGACAGAGCCAAAGAATGCTCTTGGTCGGCAGTACAAGAAATTGTTTAGCATGAATAATGTATCTTCGCACCTCAAATAATTTATATTGTGTTTCAATCAGTAAGCTGCTTAATCATATCAGATTGTAACAGGTTAAGCTGCATTTCACAGACGCAGCTCTTCGGTTGATTGCAAAGAAAGCAATGGCCAAGAACACTGGTGCACGAGGTTTAAGAGCCATTTTGGAGAATATACTTATCGAGGCCATGTTCGAGGTATGTTTACTAAACCTAAAATATGCAAACAAAATCATTAGCGTTATATAAACGGCAAGGATATCATTTGAGATTGTCTCATTTTTTCACATATCTAAACAGTTTATTGCTGTCCTGAAATTTCACCATAATGCACTTGCACTCAGATTCCTGATGTGAAAACTGGAGATGAGCGAATTGATGCAGTTGTGGTGGATGAGGAAGCTGTTGGGTCAGTTGACAAACCAGGATGTGGAGCCAAAATTTTACATGGGGACGACGCGTTGGATCACTACCTTTCTGAGAACAAGAGAAGTGATGTCATCGTCGAAGTTTCAGAGGGCGAGCTGGAAGGAGACTCTGAGCTCACATCCGGAGCAATGGGCATGTGATTTGCACTAAACACCACACATTGTATAATCTACATGTCGGTCCCATTGTTGTGTAAAACTATCCTTGTACACAAGTCAAAAATAGCGCAGCAAGAATCAAGTGATGTTTTAAGATCAAGTTGGCAAAGAAATCATGGAATCAGTTTCCTTGTTATCTCACATTGGTGGCATAATCCAGCCCATTAAAGCATAAAAACATTATGTAATTACACTCTGGTGTCCTCTAGCAAAACTTTATACTAGCTAATGACATGATGATATGTTGTCACTGAATGTTCAGCTGACTTTTGCAGGAGAGTCAATTTCAATCAATCTTAAATTTCACTGTCATTGCATGTCTGCTTGTTCATGACTTTCATATCAAGTTTTCCTAGTTTTCATGACTTCTATGGTGAGAGAAACAACTGGAGGTTTGTAAGACTTCAGAATTAGATCATAACAGTTTAAAGGAGTGCAACTGTGGAATGTTTGACACAAAGCAGTGGCTGAGATTTATGTGAGCTATGGTAACTTAGCAATAGATTGGATTTATCTGCTCCTCTATCCAACACAAGGAACAGAGGCCAGCATTGTTCCTTGCTAAGATCATCATCTGCCGTGTCACCACAACCGAAGCCAGCCATAACTGAGGAATAGATTGCCTTTCGGAGTCGCAGCCAATCGCAGCCCTCGAACGTAGATCCTGCATGGCCCCACCACATCCACCAGTCCAACCATTTGGGACCCCCGCAGCAACTGCATCCATCCATCGACGCCATTCCATGGCGTCCATAGCGGCGGCGACGGCTCCGGCTTCCCTCGGCGCGTCCGAGCTCCTCGGCACGCGCCTCACCACCGCTGCCACAACTCGCTCGGCCCCTCCACCTTCCGCTGGTTCATCAAAGATCGTTGCACTGTTCTCCAAGAAGGCTGCGCCGCCTCCTCCCAAGTCGAAGCCAGCTGCTGTTTCCCCAGCCGACGAGGAGCTCGCCAAGTGGTATGGTGAGTTAATCTACTCGCTCTTCCAAATCATGTCGAGCTTATCATTCACGAGTCTATCTCCAACTACTGCACAATGCTGTGATGGGTCTCGGGTCCCGACAGACGAATCTTCCTGCCGGAAGGTCTCTTGGATCGCTCGGAGATTCCAGGGTATCTCACCGGAGAAGTGCCGGGAGAGTAAGTTTGAGATGAGATATAATTGCTGTGCCAATCAACAAAAAAAGAATCGTTCTCTGCCTTCCTTGCAGCTATGGTTACGATCCTTTTGGGCTGAGCAAGAAACCAGAAGACTTCGCCAAGGACGTGCGTCATCTAAATCAGTCATCTTCTTTCTCCAAGTAGAAAACCTTAAGAGTATCAAACATTGTGCAGATACCAAGCTTACGAGCTCATCCATGCAAGGTGGGCAATGCTCGGTGCCGCCGGCTTCATCATCCCGGAGGCCTTCAACAAATTCGGTGCAAACTGTGGCCCCGAGGCCGTCTGGTCCAAGGTTCCGCAACTAATGCTGCTTATGCTCTGTTGTTTGCCCACGCACTTCCATGGCATCGACGAAACCAGTGGCCTGTCGGCAGACCGGGGCGCTTCTTCTTGACGGGAGCACGCTGAACTACTTCGGGAAGAACATCCCCATCAATCTTGTCGTTGCAGTCATCGCTGAGATAGTGCTCGTCGGAGGTGCAGAGTACTTCAGAATCATCAACGGACTGGTAAGATTCGTTCTTGCTCTGTTGTTTCTGAGACCGCAAGCAAACATCGACAGAAGCAAAGATCTCGTGTTCTTCTTGTAGGATTTGGAGGACAAGCTCCACCCTGGGGGACCATTCGATCCCTTGGGGCTGGCGAATGATCCCGACCAAGCCGCGCTTCTGAAGGTGAAGGAGATCAAGAACGGGCGGGTGGCCATGTTTGCCATGCTCGGCTTCTTCCTGCAGGCCTATGTCACCGGAGAAGGGCCGGTGGAGAACCTCACAAGACATCTGAGTGACCCATTCGGGAACAATCTGCTCACTGTCATCTCCGGAGCTGCTGAAAGAGCTCCAACTCTGTGACTCCCCAAATCTTCTCATCTTGTTCGCATAGTAAACTGTCATTTGAGACTTTGAAGTAATTCCCATTTCAATGCAAACCTCCATGATTACATCTCTCTTGTTTGCTTCAAGACTCCAAGCCTTGTACGTATGTATCACAATCTGCTTTGATCTGCTTGCTACAATATATACATATACATATATATGAGTGAGACTAAATGTGCTTATTTTGATATATGAATAAAAAATATATTATAGTAAAAAATATGTTATAATATAAGTAATAATTAAATAAATCTTTTAATAATTATATATATTTAAAAATATGATTTAAATCGATTGGATGTACACAAGTGAGGACAAAAAATTAATCTGCTTTCATCCCTATTTAAGTCACTATCTTTATAATTGTAACTTCATAATTGCTCGATCTGTATGTCAACAACCAAATCACTGTTACAATCACGAACATAACGGACGATTATAACTTTGTTCGAGAGAAGTGATGGGTTCATGAGGAACGATATGACGGCCGTTATATTAGGCGATGATGCACGGATAGGAGAACCCACGTGGCCTGCCATGCGCCGCATTCCAATGCGAGGAGGCGTCGCTTCTCTTGCGTCCTAAGCCCCGCGATCTCAAATTGCTGCGGCGGTCGCAGCCACCTCCGATCGGGCCGTCGCCGGCACCACCGACGCCGCCGAATCGCCGGTCTCTCCTCGCCCCCCCGCGCGAGCCCTCGCTCCCTCTTCCGTGTCGCGGCTTGAGGCGCAGGCGATCGCCGGTCGCTGCGCGGCACCACCCTCGCCAAATTAGGGCTCTTTCGGATTTTGGTGGGTGAGGACATATTTCTACAGGAAAAGGTTTTATGTAATTTGTGGAGAGCATTGCATGCTTTAATCTTGTCAATTTGCCTCTGTAAACCCTACCGATTCTCAGTCCTCTGAGTGAAGTGTTTCTGCTTTCTAACCTAATTTTCTTTCCAAGTCGGGACCACATAATGGAGTCATCTCGAAATTTGTTCTTTTCACTAGAATTTTATGTTAATGTGTGACGTTTTGTTGAATGCTACAGTTGATTAGGGTGGAGAATGACTTCAATTATTTTCATTAGATAAGAATTTTCTTTTCTTGGGTATGTGATGAATAAAATATACACTTAGATTTGTGAAGGATATTGTTTGGATATGAACAAATTATCACTCAGTGATAGCATATATATTATTGAAGTTTCACTAAGCATCCCTGGATTAGTACAAATCGGGGATTCTTTCATTGGCTGCATAAGATTAATGGAATGACAATTGAGACCTTGTGGATAAGTGGATTGGTTGAAAACAACATTGGATCCTTATGAAGCGCTAGTGCGTATCTGTTTTTGGCTGACAAGTTGTTATAACAAAAAAAAAAAGTGTTTTCCCCAGTTTTATTCTGTGCTTCTTCTGATCCTTACATATATGTTCATTGCGCAGGTAGATTGAACATTTTAATGTTCTGCTCCTCTTGAAGAATGGATCACGTTGAGCATGATGAAAATGTTGGAGAAGAGGAAGGTTCTGCAAATGAGTTCACTGAAGACAATGATACTGCAGTAGATAATGAGCTTCACAATGACAAAGCCTCACATGATGAGAATGGGAAGGAAAAGGAGCAATTTGCAGTCAGTGACCCAAGGGATAAATTGGAGCCGAGAGTAGGAATGGAGTTTGATGATGATGAGCAAGCATACCAGTTCTATAATGAATATGCAAGACGAGTTGGCTTTAGTATTCGAAAGCAACATTTAACAAAAAACAAATCTGGCCAGGTTACATTTAGGAGATTTGTTTGCTACAGAGAAGGCTATTACAGAAACCGTCCATTTGATAAAGATGCAAAGATTCTGCGAACGGATGGAAGAACTGGCTGCAATGCACACATAGGCATCAAACGCTTAAAAAGTGGGAAGTTCTGTGTCCACCGTTTTGAGCCAGAGCACAATCATAAACTTGCATCATCGAAAAAGGTTCACTTGCTAAGATCACAAAGGCAGGCAGATGAGACTCAAATGTCACGGGCACATGCTGCAGTCATGGCCGGAATGGCTCCCAAACCAACTCTAGACTTACTATCTAACAATGTTGGTTCTGATAAATCCAAAAATTACTTCCATGGGTTTCGTCAACATGAAATGAAGGTAGGTGATGCAGGAGCAATGCTACACTATTTACAGAAGAAGGCTGCTGAAGACCAGAGGTTTTACTCAGCTATACAACTTGATATGAGAGATCGAATAACAAATGTGTTTTGGGCAGATTCAAGGTCAAAAATTGATTATGAACATTTTGGTGATGTTTTATGTCTTGATATGACATATAAACCAAATGGATATGACAGGCCTTTCGTCCAATTTTTGGGAGTGAATCATCATACTCAAACTGTCATCTTTGGTGCAGCTTTTCTGTATGCTGATACTGTAGAATCATTCAAATGGTTGTTTGAAACATTCAAGGAGGCAATGTATGGAAAGGTGCCTCATCTGATTCTAACAGATGAAGATGCTGCAATTATTAAAGCGAAAGACGAAATTTGGCCAAACACAATGTATCGGCACTGTGCCTGGCATATTTACACCAGTGCAGCTAAGAATCTGAGTTATGTTTTTCAGGCCACTCCTAGTTTTGCAATTGATTTGAGCAAATGTCTTTATGACTGTGAAGATGAGGATGAGTTTGTATCAGAATGGGAAAGGATGTTAACACAATATAATCTCACAAATAATGTGTGGTTGTCCAAGCAGTTTGAAGATAGGAGAAAATGGGCATTGGTTTATGGAAGGGATATATTTTCTGCCGACATCAAAAGTGCCCTAAGAAGTGAGCACATGCATTCCGTATTAAAAACACACTTAAATGCTGAGAAAGATCTTATGTCCTTTTTTAAGGTTTACGAGAGGCTGGTTGAAGATCGACGATATAATGAGTTACAAGCCGATATCCATGCTAGTCAGTCAGTGTTTGAAGTTCCCCTTTCGCGATTATTAAAGCAAGTAGCATCCATTTATACCCCCAAGGTCTATGAGATGTTTGTGAAGGAATTCAAGTTGTATGTAGACTGTGTTATCCAATGTTGTGGGGATGATGGAAATTATTATGAGGTCACTAATTTGGAGAAGCAAACTAAAAGTTATGTTAGGTATGATCCAGCAGAAGACACGCTAAAATGTAGTTGTAAGAAGTTTGAGGCCATTGGTATACTTTGCTCCCATGCAATGAAAGTTCTTGATTATAAGAATATCAAGGAAATTCCTGAAAAGTACATCATAAAGAGATGGAGAAAGGATGTGAAGGATGGCGTACTGATCAACAAATATGATGGTACAAATGAAATCGATCCTACAGTTGCCATTGCAAATCGTTATGCCTCACTTGGACGTGTTTATTTGCACATTATAGCAAAGGGTTCAAAATGTCAAGAAGCATATGACATTGCCATAGAAGAAGCCGAGAAACTTACGAGAAAAGTGGATCTTTCTTTACAAAATAGAGCTTTTGATATGAGCCTGTCGGAGTCCTCAGAGGATCAACTTCAAGATTGTGTTGAAGTTCACGCAGTTCGAGCAAATAAGGAAGCTGGAAGGCTGACGAATCAAGGGGCAAGTAGCTTCAGGAACAACAACAAACAGCGTAGGCAGCGTAGGGTTCTAAGTGCAGAAGAAAGGACTACAAAGAAAAGAGGTAGAAAAGGTTGGTAAAATTTACTATGTATGCATGTTATAAGGTATGCTAATGCTGTTGATGATTTCAAGTGGCTTACTGTAGGTCGATCTGATGATGGGTTGGCTGGTTCGGTGGCCAGCATGCCAGTAAGGACTCAACCACATTTGGCAGTATCTAGCAATCAATATGACCATTGGCCTTCTGTTAGATGTCTGTCATTACAGTATCCTTCAAATGGTCAGGTAACATCTTGGTTCTGTATGCACAGACCAGTCTTAGTATTGTATAGCATTTGCAATTGCACCTGAAGTTAGTTATTAATTAGGATGACAAAAATACTGATAATTTGGTAAAAAAGGATTGTCTAATTTTACTAGTAATTACTTTATTCTCAACATTTCTTATGGAAGTGCTATAGTTTAGACGACACATGAAATCTCCCGTGTACCATTAATAAAGGGTGATTGGACCCACAGCTGAGGTGTTTTACTGGTTGGTTGAACTTCAGATTTTAGGTGATTTGACTGCCAAGTGAATCAATGGTCTCAAATTTTTTTCTGGTGAGTTATTTATGTAGCTCAATGATTTTATTCGTGATGAACTTTAATAATTTACAAGATCCTAGAATCCAAGTGAAACATCCATGCATAATGGGCAAAGCAATCTACTGGGATAAGTTGCCATTGGAATTATATTGAACACTCTTTGGAGAGAAAATTTCAAGGTTTTGATGTAGTTAGTGATGATAAAAGCTTATTCTAGAATTTGGGAATCAGCTGAAAGATGTTGATACTTCTGTATTGGTTGATGAATTGTGAAAATATTGTTTTAGGAAAGCATATCTTCTGTTGCTTGCATCTTCGTATCATCTTATTGTATCACATCTGCAGGTATACCAATATTCACTTTCATCTCTGCCACCCAATAATTAATACTAGAAATCCCTTATGAGATTCTGAACACGAGCCTCTTTCTCAAGGATATGTTAGGCCAGACCAGTTAATTTTTAACTGTTTTGTAGTTTTCTGAAGAAATATCCTCTAATTTTTTTCATGTTTTTTGGGTACTTGCAGGAATCATTGGTTTCCAATTCACCACAACCACCATTTGGAATTATCAATCAGCTGCATCAGAATGAATCTACTTGTATCATGTTTTCCCAATCACCAGTTGGGAGTACTTTTCCAGTTGAACCTTCAGATCGGTAACTATTTCTTTCACAGTTTTTTCAACTAGTGCAGCTCTTTCTGAACAATTTTGCACGTTTAGTTATTGTAATATTGGCAGACAACTAGACCTTTTTAAGGTTGTAACTCATGAAACTTGATTTCCATACAGCAGTTGAAAACACGGAGGACATGTACATATCACTAATAGGATTGAGAGAGGTAAGTTCTTGTCTAGTGTTTGGTAACATTGATGATTGCTCATGCTTAATGTCCAATCTCGTTATCATAGGTCAGTATCTGTCTCAGGATGCATTCCAGGAAAATGTTAATAGCAGAAATTCTCTGCCCAACGCTGGAGAATTTGGTAGAATGACCTATTGTAGATCCAGATTGCCATCCCCTCATAATTTTGTTGTACCAGTGAGATCTCATGAACGACTTGCAAGTGTGTCTTGAATTAAGCTTCTTGATATCACTAATGTTGTATTTGTAAACAATCATGCAACATGAGCTCTTTTTTTGTTCTCATGTAACACTTGCATATGTTGTGATATGTAGACATCTGAGACTATAGCTGATGAATTAAGTTAAAAACCTCTTTTTTCCTTTGTAGTTTTGCTCCTTAGTCTTCAGCTTCCATGCTGGTGTAAGATGAGTCAGATACTGCAACTTTTTTATGTCAGTTGCTAGTTTGGTTACTTGAAAGAGTTCAAGTGCTGCTTTATTTACTTTGCTGTGGCCAGAAACCATCTGTTGTTAGAATTATCATTTTGGAATTTTATCGTCCCATCATTCATGTGAAGCTTGTGCTGATGGCTACATGCTTGTAAAGAAATTGACATGGAAACTAGTAGGTTTCTTTTAGAAGGACATTATGGATCTACTGTCCCTTCTCGGCCAGTCGATGATGTATCCCCCTTAAGGAATTGATGGCATTAATGTATCAGTAAACATCTGTTATATTCACTAATAATGTGTTTGGGAGTGCACCTCAGATCCCTTGACCAAGTGGTGATGATACTGAGAAAGTGTAGGGATCAGTGGGTGCCACATTCATGGAGCTGTGATCACTCCACTGGGCATTCTTAGGCCTGCAGATAGACATTAAAAAAGTGCAAGTGAAAGACTCGAAGTATGATTACATAGCTAATGTCTCTGTCCCCAAGCCTAAAAAAGTACTCATGAAAGTAACATCCCTTGACTGAATTAAAACATGAGTGATAACAGAGTCATAAGCTTAAACACAAATCATTTTCTTTGTTATGGTTGAATGGTATTGATAATTTCATGCTTCCAAGTTTCAACCATCACAAAACACAGTTATTTTGTTTAGTTAGTGCAGATTGTTACCATAGTTTCAGGTTGTAAGTGCTATTTTCATTGGAGAAGACATCGACTCACTTTCAGCCAATTCCACCTTATACATCAGGAGATATTACAGAAGTAAATGATGTACAACCATATGTTCTCTTCAAACCTTCTTTACCATTGAATCTGTTGGTGTTAGTGAAAAAAGGTGCCCGTTGAGATCTTAAAGGAAGCCACAAGCTTATGCAATTACATCATAACTGGTTAAGGAAAATGTAATATTATCAAGCTCAGGCATTTTACTAGAGTATTTTGCTGTCGTCAGCTCAAATAACTGAAAAGTTGAGAAAAAAGAATGAGAAATTCTTCATTTCCTTCTCCTTTTTGACAATGCTCAATGCTAGCAGATGGACTTGCACATTGTTCACAAAGTCTCACGATCAAAGAATTGCAAGACATTGTAAAATATGGGGACAAAGTTGGAGGATAATTTGTATTTTGTACATTATCAATCTATTACTTCCAGATGTGAAACAAGGTGATATAGTTTTGTCACACTACAATCTTTTTTGATAGAATACACTAACTACAGTCTTCAACCTGGGTACATCTGACCTCACTCATGACAACCCTCCAACCTTGTCCTTGCCTGCAAAACAGATCATGAATTAACCTCAGGATAAACTTTCAGATAAAACAACAATCGAAGATGTGCATACAGGTGTGGATTTTCATGCAGTTTTCCTTAGAGAAACTCTCAAGTACAAGCAAGGGTTCCATTGTCCACATTTATCATGGACATGAAGCACCAATTGTTCTGTTTTGATTATTGAGGAAAGCATTTTAACAATTAGTAGCATCTAAAACTTTTGCATTTCTGGAAGTACATTGATGGCTCTATCAATAATATGATGAGTAGACTAGGCATTAATTACATCTCTTGATCAGCCATGTACAAGAAAAACAGAGGAGATAGCACAAGTGAGAGATTCGATATGAAGGCTAAACCATACAAAGCAGGTACAGATCATGCATGATATAACTGATGCCTTTTCTTGTAACTAGCATATAATTTGTGCAATCTACTACAAGTCTGAAGTAGGAGTACTGAATTCTGCAATCAGACCGATCCGTTTAATGAAGATCCCACTTTTCCGGTTATCTAATTTTCTCTTGAACAAGATATTTGTTATCTCTATTATCCTTACACTGGCATCCATGGTGGTTTGTCGACGAAATAGCTACCATATAGATTGAAGTATGTTTCAGTTATTTCTTTGTTTCATAAGTATACTTAAAAAGGACCACTTCATGGTAGCTTTCTCAAACACAAAATGCACTGATAACAGAATTGAAGTTATCAATATCTCCATAGTGGATGAGAACACGATGTTGGAGTCTTTATCCATCTCATCCCATCAGTCACATGTCCATAGTGGCTCAAAGATAAAAGAAAATGATTAGTGGTTCATCTCTTGAGTCAATAATATTTACTTCATTCAGGTTTAGCATCGAATAATTCTCTCATGTAGGACTCTACCCAAGTTTTCTTGTTATCACAATACACATACCATTTCCAAAGTCTTTGCTTCATATTTGAGAAACCTTCAAACTCAATATCAATTAAAAAGCAACAAACATAACGGCCAAAAGACTATAAAATATGCAGTTTGATCACCAATGCAATTTATGAGAGAAACAAATAGTTTGGTAGAAGAAACAAAACATCGAAAACCACTAAAAGAACTTAAGCGTCTCAAATTCTGGTAGTTGTATCCTATCCCAAAAAAGAAAATCGAAAACTCATCATGAGGGAGTTTGCAGTCTTAATTAATTCATTCAATATGTAGTATTACCTCGGACAGAGATTCAGTCCATTGCGAAAATTTCTCAATCCCGAAGTCCAAGCTCGACTTCAAGATCATCATCTTCTTCAAAGAGCTTCAACAAGCGGGCATGTTGCTCTTCTCTCTTTTTCTTCTGCCACTTCTTGAACAAGAAATAGGACAATAGAACAAGAGCAATTGCTCCTAGGCATATGAGGAGCACCTTGAGCCCCGTGTTGCTTCTGGAACTGGAATGGCTATCAGTTTTCGTTGAATCTTTAGAAGGTGATGGGTTTTCAGACAAACCTAATAAGAAGAAAATGTTCCTCAGGATGAAAGACACTGAGATTGACAAGTAGAATTATACCAAATAGACTAGAAGCACAATTGAGCACAAAAATAAGTATAACCAAATGTTTACCAAAGACCATGATGATAATGCAGGCTAAAATTTATTTACCAGAGAAATGCGCTTGCGAATTAGTCGGTTCAACAATTGCAAAGATAAGAGTTTGTCATACCAAGTAAATGCTAAAAATAAGTACACAATGTGATTACAAGTAAATTCCAAACAAGATAAAAACAACTTTTACATCCTCGCATCAGATCTCTAAGAATGAATCCACCGTACAGATGCAATGAGATCTAGAGTAGGCTATCACGTTAACAAAGCAAAGCGTATCGGAACTCCTCTGCTCAAGAACTACTCCAATTAGGGTTGTCAACCAAGAACGACTCATCAGTAACAAATTCTTGAACCCTCAAAGGAATCCAAGTACAAAGACCTACAACTAATAGGGTGAGCGACGGCAAACTTGGGATTCCGCGATGATTCAAAACCCAAAAGATCAGATATTTCTCTCCCAGTGTATGAAAAAGAACATCCGGAGATCAAGTATCAAACCCGACCCAAATCAACAAGAAAACCGCCGGACGAAATCGAGAGGTATCGATGACGCAATCAAGAAAGATGCATAAAAAACGCACCTTTCCCCTCTTAAATCACTAATAAACGAAAAGAAATCCAGGAATTGGAGAGGAGCGAACCCGGGATGAGGTGCAGAGCGATCGAGAGGAGGAGGAGGAGGAGCTGTCGCGTCGATCTGTGACTCCCGTCTCCGGTCATCTCTCTTCTAACCTCTGTGCACCAATTGCTGTGTGTCCTGTAAGAAATAAGGCGAAGTAATACGAAAAAAGAGAGGGTTTGGTGGCTATATAGATTGAAAAGTAGGAGACTATTGTGGCTGAGTTGGTTTGACAAAGTCAAAATTGGTAGGTCAAGAGGAGGTTGGTTGACTTGTAATTTCTTTTTTTTCTTCGATATCAGAAATATTTATTTTTTTATATAGTATTAAAATATTTATTTATGGGTAAATTTGTAAGAAAACCTAAGTTTCTTTTTTCCACGCTCTCTTTTTGTTTTATTTATGCATATATTTTTTTTATATATAAAAGATAATATAATTTAAGTCTTCTTCATATACCTTCTTAGTTTCTTAGGTATCGCCTTCATCTAGATCATCATCTCCTCCATTCCTCTATCTCAGGCCTCAGCCATTCATCGTTCTCATTCAGAGGCAGCAAGAGACGCCGTGAGGGAGTTGACTTCGTTGACCTATCAGCATGATGTCACAGATCAGTCATCGGTAGCCTCTCACGGCTGCCATGTCATTGGCGGCTGATTTCTTCAGGGGTGATGCCACCTCTCGCGGGCTCCCACGCGTCGTGACTGTTGGAGACCACATCACCCCTGAAGCTATTCGAGGGTGCTTAAATCGCCTCCTTTAGAGCCTCTGCTGACACATATAAGTCCGTTACAGTCTTTGTATCATATTATAACGGACGCGGAGGGTCAATAAGGAAAAATCAAAATGAGAGGGGGGTGTTTCTGCAAGTACGGAGTACTAACGCCCGTTACGGTCGCTGCATTGGAATTTAACGGACGCGGGGGGTTAATAAAGTAAAATCGAAATGAGAGGGGGCGTTTCTGCAAATATCGGGCTCGTACCAAGTCCTGTGTGCCCTTTCATCTCTGCGTCGAGTGTAGCCGCCGGTGGAGGCGAGTGAGAGAGAGAGAGAGAGAGATGGCGAGGGCTCTTGGAAGAGCGTTGGTGAGAAGGGGTAAGCCCTACTCTTTCCCCCTCCTCTCTCCGCCTTCTTCCGCTCATCTCTGCACCGAGGGCGACGGGTTACAGAGCTCGCGGGTTAAGATCTTCGATCGAGATCTCAAGCGGAAGCAGGTCGAGTCCTTTGTACCCTGTCTTTCCTTTCGAAGTTCTATCTGAATTCGAGCTAATCGTAATAGATGAGCTAATTTGGGTAGAGAGATCGAATGGCGTGGTTGATGAGAGGGAAGGATGAGTTCGTTGACTCTGTAGCTGAAAACCTTCTCGATCGCCTCCAAGTAACCTTGCAGTTTCCTTCTCCATTTTTCTAAATTTGATGATGCATTCGATTCGATGATATCTTACATTAATTCGGTAATTTCCAATGGAATCAACAAAAAAGATGATTCTTGAACCCACTGGGCGACTCTTGGGAAAGCCTCAAAAATGATCGAAGCATCAGTTAGGTGTAACAAGTTTTGATGTTGAGGAATCTTCTAACAAACCCCAGTTTTAACTTTGTTTATGCTTGGAAATTTGGTCAAAAGAAAATCAAATTAACCTAACCATCAACCACAAAGTTGAAACTTTAATATCTTGCAGGATTGCAGAAAGACATTTCCTACAGCACTGTGCCTTGGGGGTTCCTTAGAGGCAATTAGACGCCTCTTACATGGACGTGGTGAGTACTTGTTAATTTTTTCCTAGCTAATGCTGTTTTATCGATTCATGGCTTGTTGACTGCAGAACTATTTGGTCTCAGAAGCATACTAGTGTATATGATACTTGGTTCATTTGTTTCATTCATATTCTGCTTTCATAGGTGGAGATGAAGATTTTGTTAGCTGACTATAATTATTTAGATCACGATTTTGATTTTATCCTTATTCTGGGTTGGAAGATACTTCCTTCTCAAATGTTCAGCTAATCTTTCTCATTGTCAAGTCAGTGAGATCTTCTGAACAATTCTTCTGGAACTTTTCAGTAATGGAAGATGATGAAATGGTAGTTTTCATTTGCCAAACGTCGGGAGTGACTTTATCTCTGTTATCAGGTGGCATGGAGAAGCTGATCATGATGGACATGTCATTTGACATGATTAAAGTGTTAAAAGATACGGATGAAAAATTTGCGAGGAACAACCTTGAGACTTTCTATGTAGTTGGAGACGAAGAGTTCCTGCCCATAAAAGAGAAGTATGCTGTTCTGGTACTTGAGTGGAGCAGTCTGTTATTGAACTTACAAGTGCATTTGGTAGTGGAATTTATTCTTGATTACATGAGCTTATGTTCTTTGATCTTCATGACTTGTATTAGTTGCGAGTGTTTTCTTTCTACAGTTCCCTGGATTTGGTTATAAGTTGTCTGGGACTTCATTGGACAAATGATCTCCCCGGAGCCATGATACAGGTATGCTCTAAGTTTGCTATTATGGTCCCGAGGATTCTTCTTTATATAGTCAGAAAATGCTGACATGCTATCTCTCTTTTTGACAGGCCAGATTGGCTTTGAGACCTGATGGTCTGTTTCTTGCGGCTATTCTTGGTGGAGAAACACTGAAGTTGTTAAATTCGATTGATTTATAAATTATATTGTTTTAACTCTTGGTTTTTGTAAGATTTTTGTGTTTTGGATGTCTTCATGACCAGAGAGCTGAGAATAGCATGCACTATAGCACAAATGGAACGCGAGGGAGGCATCAGCCCTCGACTATCGCCTTTGGCACAGGTTTTTATTTTCTTTTCAATTTAAGTTTCATTCTTTACAACCCTAGAACTTCCAAAAGCCGTTCAAATATCATAATTTGGAGACTCCTAGGAGATCTTATATGTATGTTTTTGAAGTGAAGAATCTTAATTTTGATGCAGTTCTGCTTCTTGACCTGGTTAATTATGTTAGTGTAATGCTGCAACACAAATAGGAAACACAATGGGTTACCATGAATGCTTCTAGTTATGAATGTGCTAAATACAAGAAAAAACAGAGGAAATGAGAACATTCATCATACTATTGATGGTTTATTTATGATTGTGTGTGTTTCATACCTTTTCTTAGGAACTTTTTCTTGGTGATCAGTCTGGCTCTTATTTGACAACTATGTGCATATGTACTAAATTTATGCTGTAATTTTTTTTCTAATAACTTTTTCGTTACACGTTATGCTTGTAAATTATTGCAGTTGTATCGATCGTTGTTTCCTCAAGCTTAACATATAGTGGGATCTTGATATGGTTCGTTGCTCATATTAATAAATGCATGCAGTTTTGTCTGACCGAATCATCCTCCTATGTTGGGTTAAAAAAGGCTTAGAGATGAAATATACTGCTGGGCTTAAGGTTACAAGATTGTATTGCTTGTTGGAATTATTTGAGTAGTTTGATACCCCAAGAAGGGTGAAAGCATATGTTGTATCTGAGTCTAAAAGGCCCATCTTAACTCAGGCTTATCATGTAGAATAACATTTGCATGCCCATTTGATAAAGGAGGCCACGATACTCTCTTTTGTTTCTCGGAGATTGCTTCTTGTGAAAACAATTAATGTGCATGAAAATTTTCTTTTCTTTTTGAGTATGTGAACATTCAAGTTCAATACAACTGAGGAGAAGAAAGTGAGCTGTGTTCCTAGATGTAAAAGAATAAACTTACTAGAATCCTTCTGGTTTTCCTGTTCAGGTCCGTGATGCAGGAAATCTTCTGACGAGGGCAGGCTTCTCTCTCCCAGGTGTTGATGTTGATGAATACACAGTCAAGTATGATAGCGGTTGGTTTTCTTTAACTGAATACAGGGTTATATTTCATGAGTTCGTAGGATACTGTAGAAACTTTTAATGTGTATGAAATAAGATGTTACACGGGCATTATATTCTCTTGTTTTTCTACTTTAAATTGCATTACATAACCGATAGAGAACTCGCAGGAATGTACTAAAACGGTATCATTGGCCTTGTTGGATAAAATAGTTATTGTAGCCTGCAGCTGGCAGTATTTACTAGACCCTGAGTAGCTTTCCTACGAACTTGAATGACATAGCTGAAAATTATATGAATCATCAAGCCAAGCTTTCTTTTCAAGTTGAAAACTATTACTGTTTTCTTTTTCTTTCTTAACTTCCATTTATGATCGTGTCTAGCTTTGGAGCTTATTGAACATCTGCGGTCTATGGGTGAAACAAATGCCCTTTTCCAGAGGAGCAATGTAAGTTTTACGCAAAGAATACTGATTGCAACCTGAGGAGCTCAGATCCAACGACCAATGGACAATCTTTTTCGTTTCTTTCCATTTTCCAGATCCTGAAGAAAGACATAGCTTTAGCAACTGCTGCAGTGTATCAATCGATGTTTGGCGGAGAGGATGGAACTGTTCCAGCAACCTTTCAGGTATACCATGCTACCTTTAAACAAGAAATGCAGTCTGCAAACTGATGCAGATAGGGATTTGCATTTCCTTGCTCATATGAAAACTTTGAGTAATCATCATGCATTTTGTGTTCTAGACTTCTTGTGATATGCTCGAAAGCATTATTAGGTGTTGTTGTTATCATCTTGTATTTGTCATCATGCCTTTGTCCACAGTGTAGTTTGTTGTTACAGGTTATTTACATGACTGGATGGAAGGAGCACCCTTCACAGCAAAGGGCCAAGAGGAGGGGTTCTGCTACCGCATCTTTCGGGGACATCCAGAAACATTTTGGTCGCGGCAGTTGCTAATCATCACATTCTTTAAACGTAAGTGAATGCTCAGAAACAAATGATTCTCTTGTTCTTAAATTGTTCTTTTTTTCCTAAATTTTCTTGAATTTTCTTTTAATAACATGACCTATGTGCTGTTTCTCACAGGAGCAAAATAGAAAGGGAGCTTCCTCATTTTCTCTCATCGACCAAAAGAAGAAATGTTCTTTTAGAATCATAAATTATGCCCAGCTCATTGAAAATAGAGTTTGCTACAAATTAACTTCGTTCATCATCGACCATGCATCTCAACATCATCCTGGTGAGGTTGATATTATGCGGAAATCAGAGAAGATGGTGGAAGTCAAACAGGCACTCTTCTCAAACCTATGTCAATAAATCAAACATTGTTGGTCAGGTATTTTTAGACTTAAAATAACAGTTTCTCTCATATTTTATTAGATAATTACTTTGCAAGTTTATACAATATCTACAACACCTTAATTTAGCATTCCAACGTGCATTGAGATTTAGATTGATTTAAAGGTTGATGATGGATGTATTGTTATTAATTCGAGTTTAAACATTTCAATAATCTTAATAAATTAGTTATCTTAATCTTCTAGGAGTTCTAAGGAACTTGATTGGGTCTAATGTATTTAGTCTAAGATGATGTTTCAATAAGTCTTAATGCTCGACTTAGGTGGACTTTATGATCCCCCATTGAAAACAAATATTATTCCTATAACAAAAGTCTTTTGAGGAATCACCACCATATAGCTATCATTTTATACACAAAGGAAAATACTTGTACGTGGTACAATTCGGGTTTGATTTATACAACCACAACAAAATCAAATCCTAAATTCTAACTATTTTGTATCCGTTAGTTACATGGGTTTGATTTGGATTCGCCAAAAGCAAAAACCCCCAAACCATAATATTACATTTTGGTTTGGTCAATACTACAGTTTGTACTCTAAATTCATATGCATCCTCTTTAGATATGATAGACCCCATTTTTAGTGTATGTTTTCTAGAAATTTAATTTATTTTTTTTCCTATTAATGGCATAGGGATGATATTATTTTATACCATAAATAAAAATGTCAATTTATGATGTAATATATATTTTTGGCGTAGGTACAAATAAAAAGTAAAAAATGGAAAATGTAAATGATACCACATGGTCACCTTCAAATCTAAACTAATAACATATAATATAATAATTATTATTACTATTCAAAAGTATTTTAGTTATTTAAAATAGATAAGAATTCTCTAAAAATCAGAAAATGCTATCCAACAAAAAAATTAAAATGTAAAGTCTTTTTTTACGAAAAGAATACCTAAATAATAATTATTCTACTTATATCTTTAAAAAATATTTTAAGGTTTTATCGGATAATATTTCGATTTATAGAGAATTCTTATCTATTTTAAATAACTAAAATAATTTAATTATTATTATTATTTTTATTATTATTATTATATGTCATTAGTTTAGATTTGAATGGATTATTATCGTATCTATCGAATTAGATTCTTTACGCAGCTGAGTTTAACTCGATAACGGGTTGTTACGAAGCGATAACTTCGTCGTCTTCCTTTTTAACTCCAAATTCCTCCTCCCAACGCCACCTCCAAAGCGCAAATCTTGAAGCCCGTGGAGCAGTAGGAGCGCTCCTCCGCTGTTCTCCGATCAGTTCTTCCCCCACATCGATATGGAGAACGCCAATAAGTGCGACGTTTGGGAATTGCTGTACTCCGACTCCTCCTTCACGAGTGACCACGAGTCCATAGTTGATCTTGGAACCGTGGATGACGTAATGTCGCACTACTTCGGTGTAAACTTGGAGGAGGAGGAGGAGGAGGAGAGCGAAGAGGGCGGAATCGACTCCGACAACCCTAGCTGGATAGACACCGACTCGGATGCGGTCGAACAGAGGGAGGAGGAAACGGCGATCTTCGTCTCCGAGGACGAGACAAAGATGATCGAGCCGAGCAATGCGGGGAACAAGTTCGAGGGTGCAGATGAGTCCCAGGGATCGACTGCATCGTTCCCTGAAGACTCGAACTCTGAGGGGATCGATGGCAATCATGAGGAAAAGAAAAGGGTAGAGGACGAGCGCGTACCGAGCGAAGAGGAGACGACGGGTGGGGTAGTAGCCTCGTGGGAGTACTCTTTCCAGCTCTTGAAGCTTTGGGTTGCCAAGGCGAAGTCGGTGTGGGCGATCTCGATGGCCACCGCCAACGTGGTGGTCGTCGTGCTGAGAAGTTGCTTCTACCGGATGAGGCAAAGGGTTTCGCTTGCGCTAGCCGTGGATGACAAGGTGAGCTCAACTCGACTCTCCATCATTCCGTGTACCAAAAGAGAACATGATACCTTCTTCAAGCACATAAAGACGGAGAACATAAGTGGAAATATAGTGTAATCTTCTATATAGAATTACTTTCTTCAAGCACTATTCATGTCTTTCTTATCTCCAAATGAATTGATCATTGTGAATGCTTGCTTCCATGAAAAGTGAGTCAAAAAGTCTGCTAATAGTTTCTAATTATAAGTTCAAAACCATATTCCTAGTTTCTTCTGATACATGCCAAGCTTTGCAGAGGGTGAACCAGTTCATAATTCTCAAAGGAGCATATTTGATTGGAAAACATATGGAGTAGACATCTGCCACTTTTTGGTATGTGTCCTTAGCAAACACTGGTAGCTGATTCTTACATTGGAAAACACTTACTTCCTTGAACTAATTGATTACTTATTTCGGCTGATCTGGTGGTAATTGCATTGTTCATATCTTTTTTGATGGATACAGGCCTCAGAAAAAGGAGAATGGAAGGTAATTAAGGTGTTTGACCTTCATGTGCTTTCCCCAGTTTGATGCTGACTTATAGATAAACTTCATTAACCCAACTCAGGTAAACACTCTTTGGGCTTGGTGATTGCTAGGTTGGACAATGTGCTGTGTGGAGATTAGCTATCTTTTAGTTTCTTGATCAGCAAGAAGAACTCTTATTTAGCTGCTAAGAATTTGACTTGGACATTTTATTGAATAAGTAATGATGCTTTATTATCTTTGTCCTCTGAGTTAATATAAGGATTTGTTGAGTTTTTACTGGAAGTCTAATGTCAATAAATATTGTTATGATTGGAAAATGTAGGCAATAGTCCATTGTTGGAATTATTTTTTTAAAATTTAAAATTTTATTTAATTAAATTAGGTATATACATCATAACAATCTTACTGAAAAGAGTATGTCACTTGGGACAATATTCCATCTCTTGAGTCACTCTTTTAAATCTATAAATAGAATCCTAATCAACTTGAATTAATACGAACACATGAATTAAAATAGTTTTTACTTGCTTCTATTAAATAATACTATTAAATAGTATTATTGCGTATTTTTTCTATTTGCTCGTTGAAAAATTTCTCTTGATAATCCATCTAACAGCATAAAATAACAACAGAACAGGTGTCACACCAACATAAGAAGAAAGCTCTTAATTAAATTTGAAATTATTTTAGAAAATGAAGCAGACTTCCTAAAATAACAAAAGTTCACAGCAAGCTATAACAATTTAAAGCTTCACAACGAAGCTTGAAAAATTCCAAGGACACTTCGAAAGGCTATGAAAAAGAATGTGAAACTCATGTTGTAGTAATAGCAAAGAATTTAAGAAGACCAACAAAGTAATAGCACGGTATTTAAGAAGACCAACAAAGTCAAACAAAGAAACACAGATTCAGCAATCCAATAAATATTGAAGTGGTAAAGGTCTGAATACCTCTTCCTTGTTTTCTTCATGTTGCATCTTGGATCTACGCCTTACAATGATATTTTCTTCCACAGTCTCACGCCACCTTTGAGTTACAACCCCAATGGTTTCTTTAAGAACTTTGGACTGTTGTTCTTGTTTAACAACCTTGTTTTTCAACCAGATTAGTTGCTGGTTATCTTCATTCATTTGCTTCATTGGAATGACAACCATTTCCTCGTATGATCTCATCTCAAATTTCAGACGATGTTTACCTAAGATTTCCAATTGAATCAGGTTTGCAGGAAAAAAATTTATTATCTTCACTGGATAAACATTAATTGGAAACCCAAAGACAAATAACCCATGAAGAATAATAAGGAAATATTAACAAGCAATGGAAAGTTGTAAATTAACAAACAATGAAAAAGTTGTGATCTATAAGCATATTTCTGGCATGGCTGCATAAGTGCCTATGGTAGCACCATGGCAATAAGCCCTTTATTCCTCCTAAGTATCCAAAAAAAGAGGAAGCAACCTTTGCTTTAGGTCGATCTAACTTTGCTTAGTAAGCTGAATAATTATTATCATGTTCCGAGGCTAGGAAGCAACCTTTACACATTAGCACAAGCAGAAAAACAATATAAAACAGGAAGAAAGGAAGGGTTTTTTCGAATAGACACTGGATCCTCTTTTTTTAGTTCTTCCAAAGCTGTCAGCTTCTACTTGTTGACTTGGTCTCTAAGGTCTAAACACACTACTAGCACAAGAAATTTGTGAGACACAAATGATAGCATAGTTGCATGTATCTTCTACACAAAAGAATGCATACGTACTGAAGAATAGCTCAGACCTCATGTCAAGAAAAGATCAATTAAGATATAACGAAATAGACAAACCATGAGAATCGTGGTTGAACACATCCACATCTTCTTTGTTTGCCAAGTAGCCATATAATTGGCGTTTGCCACCTGCAGAGAATAGAATCCTACGATGTTCCCATGCGTCTCTATCTTTTCCTTGTTCTGCAAAATGATTATGTAGCTGCTCAGCCTCCAAATAGCCTACTGCAGTAGGTTCAAAGATCAAAACACTCATGCCACGATGCCCACGAGGACCATATGAATGGCAGGCTTTTACTGCTGCATACGAGCTGAAATATTCAACAAGCTCTTTTCTACCCATGCCAATCCACTGTAATTTTAAAGCGACAAAAAATTTAGAAAACAAAAAAGAAAGAAACAAGTGTATTGCATTACATGTTTGACAATTGGTGAGTCTAAGATCTGATTTTGTACAGCCTATTAGAGGTAACCATAGCCTGACAAACAAGACTCTCGCCAATGCAGGTTTTTGCCAGAGTTGATGTGTGTAGTCCTACCCCTGCTAGCGAAGAGTTTGCTTACATGACTCATACCTTGGACATCCGGGTCCCAGGAGCACTCTCGTAAATAATCATAACATGAAAATAGAACAAGTAACTTCTTACAAGCTGAAATGAATAGCATGGGTTCTCCCATCTTTAATTTTCAGATGAGACAGGAAAATAAAAATATTTGGCAATTCAACCAACAAGTACAAGTGCGATAATATGAACAAGTACAAGTACTATAATAAACATTCAACCAATATTGTCATTTTGTTTTAATTGCTCATGAATAAATTTTATTAGTTTAGGTTGTTGTCGGTTGTCATGTGGCAACATCTCCTGTGCTACTACCTTGGTTTCCTAAATTAGTCAAGAAGAAGAAAAAGAAAGCCAATGAAACAAAAAAATGAAAGAAATCAAAACAATATAATCGAAGATTAAAAATCTTGATTGAAGATTGTCTCTAAAAGAAATTTTTATCATTCTACAAAAGTAAAAGTTTATCAATCAGATATATTTATTAAAAAGAAAATTTTATTTTTCAAGATAAATTTAAAAATTAATCATCTCCAAAGTAACAACAAATAAGTGAATGATTTGACTTGATGTAATTATACTCTTTTCTTATTTTTATATCTATTTTTCTTCTTGTATTTGATGAGCATATAAAAAATAATAATAATTGGACATTAGTGGATGAACAATTGAATAAATAGTATGGTTTATGAAGGGTCAACCTACAGTCAGTTGTGAAAGAAAATATCTCTTGAGTAGCACAAAAAAATCTGTGAAAGAAAATATCAAAAATATTTTTCAAATATGTAGTAATAATGTGAATAATGAAAGACATAAGATCCCCAAAAGTTAAAAATGATGAAAGGTGACTTACGACCAAAAAGAAGTTGGATGGGCAGTATCTAGAGAAATTTTTTTTTTATTAGTTGACAAAATAAGGGAAATGAAAATTAGAAACTTAAGCATAAAAGATGAAGATCAAATAGTTTTTTTCCAAAGAAAATGAGAACTATGCAATAAAGCAAAAAAGAGCTATCACTTCAAATATGCATAAACGAAAAAAGAAAGCAGGTAGGACTCTAGGATGTGTAAGTAATGTCCACTGAATAATAGAAATGCAAGTACATAGGAAATTTATTTTGCTAGAAAAAATCATTTCAAAAATCCAAATAGACAGAACTATGTCCATTGAATGGAGGAAAAGCACATTGCACAACAGATGAGAATGCAAGAGACATTCGGAAATGCACAATTTGCTACAAAATTACAACATGGAACTTAAAGAAAGAAATGTTTGACATGGATTACAATATGAAACCAATAATTCTGAAAATAAGCTCGGTTATACAATAAGAAAATCAAAACAATGAAGATTATACATTTACTGCAATGAATGATGGAATGCTTTTAAGGAAGAAGCACGCATGTTATTTTGTTCTCCTATAAATTCATGGATTTATATGTGATTGTTTCAGAAAAGAAATACGATCAAGCAATTCTTAGTGCACGAATTATGTCAGGACAAAACAAGTTCTCAACCTCAAATTCATGAGGCAATCACAACAGATTACCAGTTTCACTTTTCTCCATGATAGAATCAACAAATTTTGACTATGCACAACATAATGCCTAAGCAGCAATTTCTTTAAAATAACTTAGAGGCACACATGAGCGACTTCCATTAAAAATAATAGTGTCATTTGCATTGAGGTAAATATTCTCGTTATCACAGTCTATCCTGCATCAATGTCTCTTTCTGAGATCCAAGTCATGCTTGTTAAGAGCTTATGAAAAGAGGGCAAATGATAGTGCAATAATGTAATAAACAGCACAACATAAGATGGCAAGAAAGCAAGTTAGAGAAAGTGTACCATTTCATTCTCATCTTGCTCAAGCAAGGTGTTCATAATAACAACCATTGGAGGCCAAACTATTTCACGATCAGTTGTTGTCTCCTGCAGTCCCTTCCATTTACCGAAGACTTCACCAGCAGGTACAGGTGAAGTTCCCCTATGGTGAAGTTCTTCTTCCAACAGTAAAGCAAGCTCCTGATGAAGTTTAACTCTAGCTGCTCTTTTTGTATTTGCATGGGTCAGCAAAGGTTGCAAACCTTTGTACCACACAATTTCACCAGGACCGTTGTGACATGCCGGGCAATGCCATTGCCTCATTTGTTCATTTATTTCTTCATTTGTCAGCTTGTCCAAATCTTCAAAAAATCCCCTGAACGGTTTGCTCTTCTTTCGAGTCTTATGGGTCTTTTGGCTTGCATCAGAATCATAGCCATCACTGAAATTATCATCGCTGTCTTCCACCAAATCATCATCATCATCATCATCATCTAAAACATCACCAGACTTCTGAGTCATAGCATTGGAATCCGAATCACATCCACCAGAAGAATCATTCTGGGGAAGATGGTTGGAGATAAATTCATCCGATTTTGGTTGAGAACCAGAGAAATCACCTCTTGCTGCCCAATTCCATCCATGTTGCAGTTGTGAAGGTATAACTGGAGGGAGAGCCATGTGTTGTGTTTCCAAACCCTTGCTTGTTGGTTGCCGCTTAGGATTAACTTTGCTAGTAGGTCGATGAGATGCATTGGCTTGAGCCCAGTTACTTCCGGAAGTCCTTGCAGTTCCACCATTTGCGCCCCATCTTTGCCTCGGTAGCCCATCAGACTGACCCCAAGACCTAGGTGCATTAGGTGAAGAGCCCCATGGTTTCGGACCAGAAGCTGTTGTGATGGTACCACGGCCACTAGAGCCAGCTCTCTTCTTGGACTTCTTTCCATACACCTCCCATCCTTCTTCTTGACTGGCTATGCTGACATCTGCCATGTCCATGCTCATCTGATCAGCCTTATGGTCACCTTTTGTAGAACTAGATTCTTCAACACCTTTGCTTTTCAATGATGGATTACCACCATTAGCAGAAGAAGAAGCATCAAAGGCTTTGCCTATATGCTCTCGGGGATTCATTGTGTTGAATATTTCAGTCACGTTCCTGTATATTTATTACGCATGATTAAACAACTTAGTGGAATTATCATGTCTACTTTACTAACAACTTACTGGCATTATCATGTCCACTTTACATAATAAATCTGAAAGAAAAAGTCACTGTACAGGTAGATGTAGATGCAACAAAGAAACATTAATATTTTATTGCAGTTCAGCCATGGATCCTCATCTTTGTAGCCAACAACTTATTACACTCGATAATCCAATAGTACACCAATCACAAAACTATATTTATATAAAAATAATAATTACAAAATAATACATGTTTGTAATACCGGGTATATGGTGCAAGCTAAGTGTAATTTTTTACTAAAATGAGATGGTAGTTTAGAGTGCACTCATCATTGTTTATTATTTCCCTACTTCTAAAAGTAAAAAATCACAAACAGAAACTAATATAATCCTTTAGAAAGTCCATTTTGTGGTCTCCATTTAAC